CATGGACCCCTTAGAGATCATGGGCCCCTTAGAGATCATGGGCCCCTGGGCAGTTGCCCAATTGCCCATATGGTTAATCTGGCCTTGCTGAAGGAGGAATCATTCCAAACACCTTTGTGTTACAAGAAATCACATTTTCATCTGTGGAACAAAAATAATCAAATTATGGGATCAAGACTTTGTAGCTGATCCTTATTTTTAAATTACTCTGATCTGTATTGGGGGAAAATCTTGATTGGGACATTTCTTAATTAAAAATAACTTAATGATTGTCTGTGCATAAAGGCACTTCAGGCTGTGGGATTTTTTTTTTTCAAATTTTTTTTTTATAAATTACTGCCAGTATTTGTTGTCTCCAACAAAGCACTTTATAGACGGATGTTTCTGGTCCTCCCACAGACCAAAAACATGCATGTTAGGCTGATTGGTAACTCTAAATTGTCTCTAGGTGTGAGTGAGAGAGTGACTGGTTGTTTGTCTCATTAGTCTCTGTGTCCCTGTGATGGACTGGAGACCTGTTCAGGGTGTCCCCTGCCTCTCGCACAGTGACTGCTGGACATGGACACCAGTGACCACCGTGACCTAGAATAGAAGAAGTGAGAACAGTAATAAGAATAATAGAATGGATACATATAATTGATGGATAGATGTTTGTAATCAGCAGAGGTCATGGTGAGGATTTCAGTTTTGTCTGTGCTCAGATTCCGATAGATAATATTTATACTGGTGATTATAAAGCAGAGATACGTCAGATCTTTGACCAGGTCACCTCTCAAGTTAAACTGTTTTTTACAGAAAAGCAGCAGTACGAGTACAGTGAGGACCTCGGGATGACGGCCGTGGCTCTGTATGATTACCAAGCAGGTAAGTCTCTGAATGTTTCAGTATGTTCGTACAAGTTCAGACTCAGGATAATCAGATATTTAACACACTGGAAAGTTCTTAAACAGATATTTTTTGTTGTCCTTCTACACACTAAAAACTACCGAAAATACTAAAAACACACATCCTGCACCATTATGTAAAATTATATTAATTACTTCACCACTTGCTCTTGCCGAGGTCAGACGCTTTTTCCCCTTCTCTCCGTCTCCGCTTTGCTTTGCTGCTCTGTCTGTGAAACTTGCTTTTGAGCCTCTCTTACAAATCTTCCAAACCATAATTATGGACTTGTTTTGATCAGTTGGTCCCTCAACACAATTGATAACATTTCTTCGAAGAGAAGACGAGCTTTAGGCGAGCCGATTTGCCCTGTTGGCATGCACGCAGCTGGATATCTCATCGACTTCGGAGACTTGATGATGTGTCTATCTCTGCTGCCATTTGTGGATTTTAAGGACGCATTTATAATTGGATTTATGATAACTGGTTCTTGCTTTTTTGAATGCGGCCGGTGGCTGGTTTTATCTACAATCAAGGAAGTCATCGGCAGCAACTTTGGACCCGATCATGCTGCTTGCCTTATGATGGCTTAGTTCGTGCCTCAAGTACCCAGACTCAAATGCTTTTGGCAGAATGGATCAGATCTTGGGGATTTTACTCAGGCATGTTCTTTTGGTGTGGCCACGTAATTTGGACATTTCAGAACCCGAGTGGACCAACACAGACTCAAGGTAGATGTCATTAAGTTCTGCCTGTCCCCAAAACAATTGTGTGTTTATCTGATTTTAGCTCCCCTGGTTGGCCTTGAAGCCACCTTATCTGAATTCGCCTGGAGAACATGTAATCGGATGCCCCCCCCTTATTCCATCCTTATCAGAACTCTTACAGTGTCCTGGAGTGCATCCTTGGACATTGCTCACCGCTCTCATCATCTCTCCCCTCCACCCTCCCTGCGGAATGTCTATGTCACTATGTGTTTGTATGTGCTTGGTGTTTTTTTAATGAGTTTTTCTTCTCAGTCAAGAAGAAAAAATTTAATAGGAATTTTTTTTGCCTCCAATTCCTACATGTTCCAGTTTCACTACTTTTTGTCTGTCTAAGCAAATCTCACTTGTAAATGAGTCTTCGAGGCTCGTTGTGATTTATCTGTCTAAATAAAGGTTCAATGAATATAATCTTTCTGTGTGAGTCCAGACTTAATTTATGCCCCTTTTACATTAGTACCTTTTAGTACCGGTACAGCACGGTTCAACTCGGCTCTGTACAGTACACTTTTGCCCCATTTGCACTGCTCCTACTCAGCCCCTGATTGTACTCAGCCCTCCACGGAAAAACACTTATTCCACAGTACTTTTTAGCTGATTCAAGACCTTGTTTTGTCTCTGCTTCTCTGGTGGGACCGTGCGAGCTGAGTTGGGACTGAAACGTGAATGCAGGACACTGACTGGTTGGGGGAGGAGTCACTGGATCTTAGAAACTTTTCACTGATCCTCCATTTGCAATTTCTCAGAACGCGCAGCAGCAGCTGGATCTATTCTTAAGATTTTTAAAACGATAATGACAACACCGTGTTTAATTCTGAAGTCCAGGCGTTTTTTGTGTTTGGTGACAGACTATAAAATTCGAGCGAGCGTTGTCACCGCGGAGGATCATACGAGCTGCTAAGCCGTTGAAGCCCGTGAGGCCGAACCCTGAGCCCCGGCCTCGCCTGCTCACAAAGGCCGGATTCGAGCCCTGGCAGGCGGGAGGACCGGGATGGAGGGACGAGGCATTTTATGTATAAAAAATAAGTTTTTTTTTTTAATCAGTGAAGATTAAAAATAAATAAACGGTGCCGGCTTTATCGTGAAATCCTGTTTTCCCTTTGACTTTATTAAATAATCTGTTAATTAAAGTTAATTCAACTGAAAAATTATAAAAAGACACAAAATTATTGAATCTCTCATATTTCCCTCCAACATGTTTAAAGAAGAGACACAGCCTTTGGTTCAACATTATTCTAACCCACAGATGTACAAATCACAAAACAAGCATTACACTTTAAATTAAAGCTTTAAATCAAAGCTAAACTTTAATTCAAAGCTAAAAATAATCTGTATACAAGAAAAAACTAATCTGTATAAAAGAAACAAAAACACAATGAGTGCAAATACATCAAATGATGAAGAAAAATATAGAATTTTAAATATAGATATCCTGATGCATGCTCAATAATCCAGGTAGAAAAATCTAAAAAAGTTAAGTCTGGTCCTCTGGACATTCAAAAAAATAACAAAAAAAAAATGTAGAAACGTTTCTTCTTTCATCCAAAAGACTTCTTCAGTCTGAGGAGCTGTATTCAGCTCAGTCTTATATAAACAGCTATGAGCTGAATACAGCTCCTCAGACTGAAGAAGTCTTTCGGATGAAAGGCGAAACATTTCTACATTTTTTTTTTGTTTTTTGAACGTCCAGAGGACCAGATTTAACTTTTTTAGATTAAAATATAAATGTTTTTGTAGAATCTGGTTCATCAGATTTAATTCAGTTCAGGTTATTTATACAGCGACAAGTCACAACAGAAGTAGTTTCAGGGCACTGACCAGAAATATTCATATATAAAATAGTAATTTAATATTATTTATCTGAGGAGCAGACTGCTTTGAGTAACTCATAGCAGAACTCTCGTTAGCAGGACTTAGATTCTGGACACGCCTCCAGAATCTGTCCTAAAGTGCAGATGCAAATCCAGGCTGAGCTGAGCCAGGCTGAGTAGGGGTGTGCAGAGTTGGGGCTGATTAGGGGCAGTGCAAAAGGGGCATTATAAATAGCACCTTCTCATAGTGGATCAACCAGTTTGCTGCTGACAGCCAAAACCAGCTGCTCACATGATCAAGGAGGACCATCAGCCTAACGATGGATCATTAGCACCTGATGGCTGTTTGCTATTCACAGGAGGCTGAGGAGGCTGTTGTCAGGGGGCGTGGCTTAAGCGATGTCAAGATTTGACCAGTCTTGCAGGGGACTGAATGTGGATCAATCACTGAAGGTTTGATGCCTCAAACAGTTTTCTTGTAGGAGTTATTAGTGTCACATTTTTCATGGCAAGATGTCAAACTTTAAGTTCTGGCCCCGCCCCTTCAGCATGCTCTGAAACGAACCGTTTAGATAATTTTGCGTCCCCCGCACCTTTTGACCAAAATGGCCAAGTTTGAAACCGATTGAGCGAAATCCCTAGGAGGAGTTTGTTCAAATGCGGAGGCTGTAAACCTCCAAAAAGATGTGAAAATTGGGCCAGCATTCCAAAATGGCTGCCTTCTTGTTTATCGTACGATGTTGGTGCCAGAGTGGTTTTTGTGCATCTTGGGGAATTGGACAAGTGTACCAGATTTCATGTTTCTACGACGAACTAAGGCTAACGCAGAGGGTATTTTGAACATTTCTAGGTGGCACTCTTGTGCCGTTTCTGTTGGAATTTTTGCCACGCCCTTAAAAAACGTAATTTTTCACCAGTCCTGATGAGTCTGCCAAATTTGGTGACTTTTGGAATATGTTAAGGCCCCCAAAAAATTGCAGCTTGGGCCTGAACAGAGCGATTACAATAGGCCTTTGCAGCGGCAGCGCTGCACAGCGCTTCGCAGCACGGGCCTAATAATGACAAGAGTCAACCTACTTCACATATGGGGAGCAATATTATAGGCAGAAACATGGGTGTGCTATGGGGTCTCCAGTTTCTCCTATTGTTGCCAACCTGTACATGGAGGAGGTAGAAAAGAGAGCCTTGACGTCCTTTTCAGGGACACCACCAAGTCATTGGTTCAGGTATGTTGACGACACCTGGGTTAAAATTAAATCTCAGGAAGTCCAACATTTTACTGACCACATCAACTCTGTGGATAAATACATCAAGTTCACACGAGAAGATGTAAAAAATAGCAGGTTGGCTTTCTTGGACTTGTTAAGATATTTCCTATTTAGACTGGTCTTATGTTTTGATCTGCTCAGAGACGGGATTATAATGAAATTATGACCCGGTTCTGACTGTGAGGTCTCAGTTTCCGATACAGGACATTTGCAAACTGAGGTGTACCGCAAACCCACCCACACAGACCAGTATTTGCAGTTTGACTCCCATCACCCTTTGGAGCACAAGTTAGGAGTCATCAGGACTTTGTACCACAGAGCAGACAGCGTCCCCACTAGCTCAGGAGCCAGGCAGAAGGAGAAATCCCACACAAGACAGGCTCTAGAGCAATGTGGATATCCTAACTGGGCCTTCCTGAAAGCAGAGAAGAAACCCAAACAGGACTCCAGTCAGCCATCAGGTGAAAAGGAGGAACCCAGACCCAGACCAGTGGTCATTCCGTATGTTGAGGGAGTATCAGAGAAACTGAGACGTTTATTTTCTAAACATAACGTCCCAGTGGCTTTTAAACCTCAAAATACATTAAAGACTGGTTCATCCCAAAGATCCAGTCCCCCGGCACAAACAGAGTAATGTTGTGTATGCTGTTCAGTGTCAGGAGGGTGATCAGTCTTACATCGGGGAAACTAAACAGCCACTGGCCAAAAGGATGGTCCAGCACAGAAGATCAACATCATCAGGCCAGGACTCTGCGGTCTACACTCATCTCCAGGGCAGCAGTCACTCTTTCAGGGATAAAGATGTTCACATCCTGGACAGAGAGGAACGATGGTTTGAGAGAGGAGTAAAGGAGGCCATCTTTGTGAAAAGAAACTGTCCATCATTAAACAGGGGTGGAGGCCTCCGGGTTCAACTGTCCCCCTCTTACAATGCTGTGATTGCTAGTATCACTCAGCCCTCTGTGAACAGTAAACAGCCATCAGTGTGCTAATGATCCATTGTTAGGATGATGGTCCTTCTTGAGCATGTGATCAGCTGGTTTTGGTTGTCAGCAGCAAACTGGTTGATCCACTCTGAGAAGGTGCTATTTAAGAGACTGAGCTGAAAACAGCACCTCAGACTGAGGAAGTCTTTTGGATGAGAGATGAAACGATCTACATTTTTTTGCTTTGTTTTGTTTTTTGTTTTTTTGAATGTCCAGAGGACCAGATTGAACTTTTTTTGGATTTTTCTACCTGGATTATTGAGCATGCATCAGGACAAACCATCTAATCTTAACATCAAAGTTCATGCTCAATAATCCAGGTACAAAATCCAATAATGGTCAGTCAGGAAGTGTACTAAAGGAGTATACTGCTTATTGGGGAAAATAGTTTACTGGGACTCCTCAGACTGGTGAAGCCCTCTAGATAGAAGGCAAAACATCTTTCCACAAAAAAGAAAATGTCCAGATGACCTAACTGACCATTATTAGAATTTATTTATTTATTTATTTTCATTTTACAGATCAGTTAAAATAAACTTACCATGGTCTGTTCAGCAAATTATACACCACACAGTATTGCTCAAGTTCATCAAGTTCACATCAATTTTATTGTCATTACCATCTCGTGGTACATGAGGTGGAACTAAATTATGTGCACTGGGTCCCATTACATCCAAAAATATAAAGTATAAAAATAAACTGTAAATAAGGATCCAAGATATACACTAAGATATACTCTAAACAAACGCCAATCCATACGCTAAAAGATCTAAGATATACGCTAAACACTAATAATGTAAAACAATATGGTGTAACAGCAGCCAGAACATGAGTCTGTGGTGAGCAGATAGATATGAATGAATACAGCAGTATGAGGTAATCAGCAGCATAAGATAATTAGCAGCATGAGATCAGCAGCCTGGATAATCAGCAGCACAGTCACATATCACCAACTAAACTGGCATTTCAGAGATTTAATTTTTCTTACATTGATTATCCTGGTTAGGGATGTATTAACAGCCTCAGGGTAGAAGCTGTTCCTCAGTCTAGTGGTTCTACACTTAATGCTCCGCAACCTTCTACCTGCGGGGAGCGGTGCAAAAAGTGTGTGTATGTGCTGGGTGAGTGGGGTCCTTCATGATGCAGGTGGTCCTCTTTCATCTGGAGGTGTAGATGTCTGTGATTGCAGGGAGGCTAACTCAAACGGTCTTCTGTGAAGCCTTCACTACGCTCTGCAAAGCTTTTCTTTCTGTAGCTGTGCAGCCTCCATGCCACGCGTTGATGCTGGAGCACAAATGCTCTCCACTACACACCTGAGGACTGAGCTTCCTAGTTCAGCTTGCCTCAGCTGCCCAAGGAAGTATATTATCTGATGTGCTTTCTTGATCAGGTTGGTAGTGTTGTTGCTCCAGCTGAGGTTGTCATTCAAGTGCACACCCAAGTACTTGTAGCTGGAGACCACTTCCACAGCAGATCCTCCTATGTTCGTGAGGGGTAGGTGTGTTTGCTTCATCTGTAATCTACGACCATCCCTTCGTCGCATTGATGTGAAGGTTGTTCTTCCTGCACCAGCTCTCCAGGTGTTCCACCTCCTACCTGTACCCGGACTCATCGTTGTTTGTGATGCATCCAACCATTGCTGCGTCGTCTGCAAACTTTACAATATGATAGCCTGGATGGGTAGGAGCACAGTCATATGCAAGCAGAGTGAACAGGATGGGGCTCAGCACACAGCCCTGAGGGGAGCCATTGCTAAGGGTTATGGTAGAGGATGAGAAGTTGTGGATCCTCACAGACTGCCGTTTGTTGGTTAAGAAATTCACGACCCAGTTGCATAAGGAGAGGCTTAATCTAGTGTGAGTTGTTTGTCCAGTAGGGTCTGGGGAATCATGGTGGAATGGTGTTGAAGGTGGATGTGAAGTCCACAAAGAGCATACGGACATAGGAGTCCTTCTGCTCCAGGTGGGTGAGAGCATTGTGGACTAGAGAGGAGATGATGTCCTCTGTTGATCGATTCTTGCGGTATGCATATTGGTGTGGGTCCTCCCTGATGTCGATGGTAGCTTCGATATGGGCCATAATCAGTCTTTCAAAACATTTAGTGACTATCGGGATGAGTGCTACTGGCCAGTAGTCATTTAGCCCAGTCACTGCAGAGCTTTTAGAAACTGGGATGATTGTGGCAGTCTTCGGGCAGGTAGAAACAGTTGCCAGAGTGAGGGAGGAGTTAAAGATTTCGGCCAGCACCTCACAGAGCTGATTGGCACATTTCTTTCTGCACCAGACATGCGCAGTATACCAGGAAGTGACCCGGAAGTGACATTGACTGATAATCCATCTATTCCTCTAGATCCAGCTCTCCTTCATTTACAGCTGCCTCCCTGAAGATCTGACAGTCTGTACATGCAAAACGCTCCTGCAGTACAGAGTCACTGTCGCTGGGCCATATGGTGACAGTCCTCTGTGTGGGTCTGAAACATCTCAGCAGGTGGAGGTAGACAGGAGCCATAAAGATGGAGATGTGGTCAGAGAGGCCAAGGTGGTGGCTCCCAGCTTTGTTTGTGCTGAACGTCAAAAGTGAAAGTTAAAATGAACGGCCATCGCTGTAAAATAGTCTTCATGCGCCCTCTGCTGGATACATTGTTCAATTACAGCCATTTCCAGCATTTTAGGGATGAAAATTAGAAGTGTTTATGTCAGCCAATAATGGGACCATTATCGCTGGTACCGATAGGTCCCCAAACGCCTACATCGGCCAAAATTATTGCCCCTACTGATATATTGGTTGGACTCAAATGTTTACCATGTTCACATCTGTAATTAAAGGTTTTCTTCCAAATGATCGAACCCATAAAACTCTTATCTAATATTCTCAGCTTGTTTGTCAACTGTCTGTCCTGTTCTCTTGTTTCAGCCGGAGATGACGAGATTTCCTTTGACCCCGATGACATCATCACCAACATCGAAATGATTGACGAGGGCTGGTGGCGCGGCGTCTGCAAAGGCGCCTACGGCCTTTTCCCAGCCAATTATGTGGAGGTTCGGCAATAAGAATGTTGCGCTTTATGTTGACCGTTGCAGGTCTCGGTCTCCCTCTCCTTTCACGGTCGAGCTTCAGCACTGTGCGAGATGTCCTCCCGTCTCCTAACTATATTTCCCTTCCTGCTTCATTGTCGGATCAGATGGTTTGGCTCCAACTGTAAACACGAGGTCTCAGCTTCACAGTATCAGAAGTTTCAGCTTGTAAACCTAGTGTCTGTCATTCTACTGCCTTGTTTTTGTATTAACTTAGTTTCTTTTTCTTTCTTTTTTTTACTTGTAAGATGAAATAAATTTAGCCTGAGTGGAGCAGAGCGTCTCACTGAGTCATGTTTGGACTTGGCTGTGTTGCAGCTCCTTCATGTTGACAGGAACATTGTAAAATAAAACTCCTTCAGGACTCCATTGTGTAGATTGATAGACCAAAAAGCAGATTTTTTTCTTCTTCTGAAGAATAAAAGCGTTGATTTTCCTGTGGATTCCTATGGACACCCTAGTCTGAGCTTAATGTTGAGCTTTTCCATCAGTCTTCTGGTTGATTAGAGATGACTGTGGGACTAAATTTATCCCAGATTACACCCAAAGTGTTTATCTTCTGGTGCAGTTCATTAATGCTCTTCTCAGAATCATGTAAAGTCATTTGAAAGCTTGTTTTGGTTTATTTTCTGCTCAAGGAACAGCTTTTAGTTTTTCTGCTGAAAATGTTTGTGTTTTTGTCCTAATGCTGCCAATCTTCAGAAAACAGCAACAAGGCAACCTGTAGAAACTTTTCTAATATGCTGCGTTGGACGATTGTGTAACTTCAGCAGGTGTGTGTGTGACGGTGTGTTTGAGGACATTCACGTCATCTTCGGGTTTTATAATAAAGTGACCTTTTTCAAATGTATCATTATTTTTCTCTGTATCACTGTTTGCTTGAGTCACATTACCTGCTAATTTTTTAAGTTTCAATAAACTAAATATGACCATGAATTTGGCCTTTTTTTAATATATATATATATATATATTTTAAATATTTGACATTTATTTCCCTTAGTAAATGTCAAATATGTCACAGAACCATAGGTGTCACAACAATATGTGAAGGGGGCGTGTCCCCTACACATAAAAAAAATAAAATGAATTCAGACTCCCCCACATTTACCATGAAATATTATTTTACCCAGCACAGTTTCTATTTCTTTGTGAACAAATCCATCCATCCATCATCTTTACCCACTTCTTCCTTTTTTGGGTCGTGGAGGTCGCTGGTGCCCATATCCATCAATCACTGTGCTGTGCGAGGGGTGGGGTACCCCCTGGACAGGTCGCAAGTCCATCACAGGGACAAATAGAGACAAACAACCATTAACTCTCTCACTCTCACCTAGAGGCATATTAGAGTTACCAATCAGCCTAACATGCATGATGAACAAATCCATTCCAGTTAATCAAAACACTAAAAGTCCACTCCGAGTTTTCCTGGTTACCTACAACAACTTATCGTTGCATGCAGTGTTTCTCGCTCATCTGCCTTGGCAGGGCACTCACAGGGGGAGGAGGGGGAGACACCTCGGTTTGGCACACTAGCTTAGCACCACGTTAGTGCTGGCAGTTGTTGATGAGGGTGGAGGTTTAGAATGTGTGAGAGAAGAATAGCGCTACACCTGTAGCAACTTAGCTAACACGTCTGTATTGAGCACCACTAGCTTAGCACTATGTTAGTTCTGGCAGTTTTCCACGTGGGGCTTGAGCGAAGCGCAACGTGCTCTATTCACACAAGGAGAGCTGTTGGTCTTGTTGCTCTCTAAAATAGTTACTGAATTAAGTGTTTACTTATGCAGGTAAACTTAGATGTACTGTATAACAACCCGTTAAAATACACCAGAATGCAGGAAATGGCATCTACTTTATTCAAAAGTTTCTGGGGGAGGACACTTAATGCTCCTCAACGTCCTTCCTGAGGGGACCGGGGCAAAAAGTGTGTGCTGGGTGAGTGGGGTCCTTCATGATGCAGGTGGTCCTCTTCTTGCATCTGGAGGTGAAGATGTCTGTGATGGTGGGGAGGCTGACTCCAACATCTGTGCAGCCTTCACCACTCTCTGCAAAGCTTTTCTTTCTGCAGCTGTGCAGCCTCCATGCCACATGTTGATGCTGGAGCACAGGATGCTCAATGCTTCAATTCATTTAATTAAAATATGGCACAGAGCTCGCAAAGCTATTGGCGTAAAGAGCATTGTTTCACCCCGTACAACCTTGAAACAGAATGGATTCATACTTACCTCGCTGGATAGCAAGGTTCTGGAACAATGGCATCAGAGAGGGGTTCACTACTTGGAGGACTGCTATGAAAACGGAGCTCTGATGTCCTTTGAGGACATGAGGAAGAACTATAATCTACCCAGTAGGAACTTTTTCTTCCATCTCAAGTTGAGATCCTTCCTTAAAACTTCTTTGGGTCCAAATATGGCCCTACCTCCTTTAAACAACCTGGAGAAAATACTTTATGAAGGGAACTTGCCTCGTTTTGTTTCAAGGGTGTACTCTGTTGTAATGTGTACTGCTTTAAAGTCGGGCTACACAGATCAAGGGAGAGACGGGAGACCGACTTCCATGTAGCAACTGATGCAGAACTATTACAAACCGGATTCCAAAAAAGTTGGGACACTAAACAAATTGTGAATAAAAACTTAATGCAATAATGTGGAGATGGCAAATGTCTATTTTATTCGTAATATAACATAGATGACAGATCAAAAGTTTAATCTGAGTAATTGTAACATTTTAAAGGAAAAATATGTTGATTCAAAATTTCACAGTGTCAACAAATCCCAAAAAAGTTGGGACAAGTAGCAATAAGTGGCTGGAAAAAGGAAATTGAGCATATAACGAAAAGCTGGAAGACCAATTAACACTAATTAGGTCAATTGACAACATGATTGGGTATAAAAAGAGCTTCTCAGAGTGTCAGTGTCTCTCAGAAGCCAAGATGGTAAGAAGATCACCAATTCCACCATTGTTGCGCAGAAAGATAGTGCAACAATACCAGAATGGTGCTACCCAGCGTAAAATAGCAAAGACTTTTAAGTTATCATCATCAACCGTGCATAACATCATCAAAAGATTCAGAGAATCTGGAACAATCGCTGTGCGTAAGGGTCAAGGCCGTAAAACTCTACTGGATGCTCGTGATCTCCGGGCCCTTAAACGTCACTGCACCTCAAACAGGAATGCCACTGTCAAGGAAATAACAGAATGGGCTCAGGAATACTTCCAGAAAGCATTGTCAGTGAACACAATCCACCGTGCCATCCGCCGTTGCCAGCTGAAACTCTACAGTGCAAAGAGGAAGCCATTTCTAAGCAAGCTCTACAAGCTCAGACGTTTGCACTGGGCCAGGGGTCATTTAAAATGGAGTGTGGCAAAATGGAAGACTGTTCTGTGGTCAGATGAGTCACGATTTGAAGTTCTTTATGGAACACTGGGACGCCATGTCATCCGGACCAGAGAGGACAAGGATAGCCCAAGTTGTTATCAACGCTCCGTTCAGAAGCCTGCATCACTCATGGTATGGGGTTGCATGAGCGCTTGTGGCATGGGCAGCTTGCATGTCTGGAAAGGCACCATTAATGCAGAGAACTATGTTCAGGTTCTAGAACAACATATGCTCCCATCTAGACGTCATCTCTTTCAGGGAAGACCCTGCATTTTTCAACACGATAATGCCAGACCACATTCTGCAGCAATCACAACATCATGGCTACGTAGGAGAAGGATCCAGGTACTGAAATGGCCAGCCTGCAGTCCAGATCTTTCACCTATAGAGAACATTTGGCGCATCATAAAGAGGAAGGTGTGACAAAGAAGGCCCAAGATGATTGAACAGTTAGAGGCCTGTATTAGTCATGAATGGGAGAGCATTCCTATTTCTAAACTGGAGAAACTGGTCTCCTCTGTCCCCAGACGTCTGTTGAGTGTTGTAAGAAGAAGGGGGGATGCCACACAGTGGTAAAAATGGACTTGTCCCAACTTTTTTGGGATTTGTTGACGCCATGAAATTTGGAAACAACAGATTTTTCCCTTAAAATGATACATTCTCTCAGTTTAAACTTTTGATCTGTGATTTGTGTTCTATTCTGAATAAAATATTAGATGTTGGCACCTCCACATCATTGCATTCAGTTTTTATTCACAATTTAGTGTCCCAACTTTTTTGGAATCCAGTTTGTATGTCAGGGATGTATAAATGTATCAATTAATTGTAGATATAGGTTGACTCATTATAATTTCCTCCATCAAACTTATATTACACCACAAAAATTATATAAGTACAAACCAGAGTTATCCCATTTATGTTTTAGATGTGGCATTTCTGCATAGCACATGGAACTGCATAAAGGTAAACACATTCTGGCATGACTTTTCTGATATTATGTCAAAACTTCTAGAATTTTCATTAACATTTGATCCACAAATGTGCTTATTAGGAGAGTTTACAAATCTGGGTATAGAATTAAATGCAAGTCAACAGAAGTTCTTGGAATTGGCTGTATGTGTTGCCAGAAAATGTGTAGTCATCACATGGAAGTCTGACTCCCAACTCCCTATTTCAAGGTGGTTCTTGGAGATGAATAACTGTGCTCCACTCGAAAAGATCGCCTACTCTCTTAGAAGTGATTATAACACTTTTGTTAAAATCTGGCAGCCTTATCTGACATATGTGGGCACCATGCCAGTGCCTCTATTAGATTCTGCATAGTCAAGTTTGCCACATTTCACTATCTGTCAATCCAATCGTATTGTACCGTTTTGCTCTCCAGATTTTTTTAATTTTTAATTTTTTCTCTCCACTTTGGGGTGGGTCGGGTAGGGATATTGACATGTTTTTCTCTTTTTTAATGTTTTGGTAATGTTTTACAAACTTAAAAACTCAAAAGTATTGCAAAAAAAAAAAAAGTCCAAGTGGGACCAGAACATGAATAAAGAGTAGAAAGTTTTGTCTTTTTCTCTTACTAAACAAGATATTGATGACATCAAATGCCTACTGAAATCTGCAAAAATGGATTAAAATGAGGAAAATAATGTTCTTTCAATCACCGCGGTGGTGGAGGACCCAGATCCTCACACAGGTGCTATAGCTACCTCTTCCCCACCCATCAGGGGGGAGAACAAGGAAGCTCTACCCGCAAATCCACCACCAAAACCTGTGGACTAGAACCAGTTGAGTGCAGTTATGGTCGTGGCAATGGATCTAGAGGTCCAGCCATCGGCTGAGGAAGATCCTGCGATCCAAGTGGAACCCCCACTCCGGCAGTTTCTCAGTCATCTCACAATAAAAAGTGCAGCACAGAAGTTCTATGCACCTCTGAATCTAGAAGATGTGATGACGCACAACTCTCTTCATGACACTGGCTCGGACGTGACACTCATGTACGCAGGTCTTTTTGAATCCTTGTGTAAGGCTACAGACTTTGCAAACAAAGAACTGAAAGTTCAATCTTGCAATGTGAAGGTACAGTCGTACTCTTCAGCAGTGTTGAATAAAGTACCTAAAAGCAATACTTCAGTGAAAGTAAAAGTATCTTACCATAAAATTACTTTGGTAAAAGTTAAAGTCTCCTTAAAAATTATTACTTAAGTAAAAGTCTTAAAGAATCTGACATTTAATGTACTTCAGTATCAAAAGTAAATTTCTCATATAAAATGTACTTAAAGTAAGAGTATTAAGTAAAATTAAATTGTTAGAATTTCCAAAACATTTATTGGGTGCAATATCCAATAAAAAAAACTTGGAAAGTTTGAAATGAACAATGAAATATTTCCTCTTTTCAATAGTCTGCAACGATAAATGTTAGATAAATCAATCAGTCAATCAATCAACAACTTTATTTCAGACACACTTGGTCCATAGTAAAAAAATAAAACGGGCAAAAAAAATGT